TGGCTCTGGCTCTGGCTCTGGCTCTGGCTCTGGCTCTGGCTCTGACTCTGGCTCTAGCTCAGGCCTAGACTCTGACTCTGACTCAGGCTCTGGCTCTGGCTCTGACTCAGGCTCTGACTCTCGCTCTGACTCTGGCTCTGGCTCTGGCTCTGACTCAGGCTCTGGCTCTGGCTCTGGCTCAGGCTCAGGCTCAGGCTCAGGCTCAGGCTCTGGCCCTGACTCAGACTCAGGCTCAGGCTCAAGCTCAGGCTCTGGCCCTGACTCAGACTCAGACTCAGACTCAGGCTCAGACTCAGGCTCAGGCTCAGGCTCAGGCTCTGGCTCTGGCTCAGGCTCAGGCTCAGGCTCAGGCTCTGGCCCTGACTCAGACTCAGGCTCAGGCTCAGGCTCAGGCTCTGGCCCTGACTCAGACTCAGACTCAGACTCAGACTCAGGCTCAGACTCAGGCTCAGGCTCTGGCTCTGGCTCTGGCTCTGGCTCTGGCTCTGGCTCTGGCCCTGACTCAGACTCAGACTCAGACTCAGACTCAGGCTCAGACTCATGAGACTCTGGCTCTGGCTCTGGCTCTGACTCAGACTCTGTGTTACTCTGTGTTTCCAGAGTGTCTCATTGCTGCAGATTGATGGCACTGCAGCAAACACAGGCAGTAGGAGGGTTTCCCGGGTTGCATTCGTGAAGCTCGAGGCAGCTCCCGCAAACCCATTTACAGAACATCGTGGCTCCATAATGGGGACGGGGAGACTTCACCTCAACTAAGTCTGCAAAATGGAGAGACTTTACCTCTGCTAAGTCTGCATGATGGAGAGACTTTACCTTTAACTAAGTCTGCATGATGGAGAGACTTTACCTCTGCTAAGTCTGCATGATGGAGAGACTATGACCAAGTCCAGTTCAAAATTATCTGATCCAAATATACTGTAAATCTCATGAGCCTACAGTGCACATGGTTGACAGATGAGTTTTTAGGAGCTGAAAACACTAAGGAGGTCATTGTATCACATTTTCCACGACTGTCCCTTTAATCTTTGCTCAATAATGAATGGTACAATCATAAGACACTGTCCAACAAACAACTGTGAGTCAGCCGCACATGAGTCATCTGAAATAGTTTAATAACGTTTATCTAAGTGTGTGTGTGTCTTGTTTAGTCGCACTGTCTAAATTTGCCAACATAAATCCTGCACAATACACTACTATAGCATTAGCTGAAAACTGATTAGCATTTAGTGAGAAAATACATAATCAGAACTCATTACTATCTGTAGAGTAATGACAAACACAAATAACTTATGAATCCATGCTCATTTTTTACGTGGCTTCATGGGAACTGCAGTCTCCGATACGAGCCTACATTCTCCAAAAGGCTCTTTCCTTTTCATAATCAAACAAGTATGTGATGGGAGCTATTTTTAGACGGCCCTCTGTCGTGTGGGAGCCCCTGTCCCCTCGGTCGGACACTCTCCAAGCCTCATCACACAGGCTTCACATGAAAACACCCGGTTCTTTCTCAAACTTTAAGGCCGAGATCTGATCTGGAAACAGTTAGGTCTCCCATTGCCATTTATGGAGAGGTAGTGAAGAATGGCTTTGGAGTGATGAATTTACATGCACTGACTTGGAGCCTGAGAAATCCCAGACAGCTGCTGGCGAAGCGCGGGATCCTTTGAAGGTGCATTAGTGGAAAGGGGAATAATTGGGTTTTGGTTTTGCAAAGTGATATCCATCCATCCATCCATTTTCTTCCCTTTAATCCATTTCTGGGTCAGGGGGGTGGCAGTCAGAGATGCCACCCAAGTCTCATAGCACCAGCCCCTCACTGACCCTCTGCAGGTGGTGAGTCCACAGGAGGACGGCTGCTCTCTGAGTGTGAGCATAGCCTTGATCTTTCAGTGGGGGCTTTGGGCAAAGTGGGGTTAAGTGTCTTGCCCAAGGACACAACGACAGCAGTCATCAGTGGGAGCAAAGTGATATGACGGAACCAAAATATCACAGGTGTTTTTGTGGTGCAGATATGTTGATATTTGTTACCACTTCCTTTCTAGGGTTGTTGCTGTGGATAATAGTTTAACGCTTTGGTTTTGTGCTGTTTTAAATTCCAGTGCTAAAATTATGATTGACACGTCCATGTGTGAGACTTAGATACTGTACGAGAGCTCACTCTATAGAGCACAGGTAAACAAGACACATTGGTTGATAAAATACTGAACTAGAAAGACTGTTTCTGTCACGGGGTGAACTGAGTGAGGACTCAAAATGCAGGAATGCCAAAATAATGGTTTAATTAAATAAAAGATCAGGTGAAAACTAAACTCAAAATCCAAAATACAGAACCAGGAACAAAAAATCAGGAACAGGACAGAACACAAGTTGACAATACAACGAACCAGCAACAAGAGGAGAGGAGCACAGGGTAATTATAGACAGAGACACAGGTGAAACACATTAGGGCGGGGCAGACAATCAAGACACGGGAAACAGGGCGTCAAAGTCAAACTAAGGCCCTGTCCACACGAAGTCAAGCTCAGGCCTAAACGCAAAAATACTTTATCAATCCAGTGTATCGTCCATACGAGGCCGGCGTTTTGGGGGGGTGTAAACGAACATTTTTGAAAGTAGGTCCCAGAGTGGAAAGATTTCAAAACTCCGTATATGCCGCTCCGTGGTTACTGCCTCTCCGCAATGTATCTGAGACGCGTCATCGCCCCGCCTCTTGTTAAAGCAGCATGCGCCGCACTCAGAAAATAATGACAACAACAATGTAGCTTGTTGGTTTTGTAATCCAGTGTGACCCGAAGCAACAGTTCAACCTCATCGTCCGTCCATACTAATGTAGTACCAGCTCGCCCACTCGCCATGTTGTCTGTTTACTAAATTCTGCGCATGCCCAGTTCCCGTCACGGAAGTTTGGGCTTGATCCCGTCATTGCGTCACAGCGCCACCAACAGGTCTGGCATAGTTTCACAGCGTTTTCAGGCGTATTGACTACATTCATATGGACGCACACATTTACTGAGCTAACTCCGTGTTTACAGAAAAAGTTTCTGAAATTATAAGCGTTTTGTCTTCGTGTGGATATAGCCTAAAACCAAAGCACAGAGAACAGATATCAAAATAAAACTAAAGTCCAAAACAAGAAAATCCACACCATGACAGTTTCTTTCTTAAACAGGGCTGGGCCATGGGGAAAAGAAGAAATAAGCCTTGATTTTATTCCCCCCATTGGACGATTGCAAATAAAAATCAATGCCCGACTCTCTCCGTTCCCCAACCCCATCATCAGAGCATTTGAAAAACACTAAATTATATTCAATTGTCATCTGGAGTTTGCAAATTGAATGAATGGGTTGTGGATCGAAATAGTCACGAGGGAAGGATCTTTGTGGTCCGTGGAGGAGGCTGGATGCGGGATGGGTGCATTTTTCTGAAGGGTGGAGACATGGAGGAGTGGAAAACAAGGCAGTGACTGGTTCCACATGAGGAGGAGGCAGGAGCAGGAGCAGGACCTGCCCCATGGGTCAGCTGTCTAAATACAGCCCCTCTACATCCACAGCACACACCTACACCCCCCGCGGGGCAATACCAGAGGATATTCTTCTACAAGAGGTCATTTTGGATTGTTTTAGGATTCACACAAAGTACCACCCAAGAAGATCCATCTGAGCCTTGTCTATCACAGTCTTAGTCATACATAGGAATACATTGTTGTTATGAATAAAAAAATGTGGAATAAAACTGTTTAATTCATCCTATAATTAAACTGCAGAGGATTGGTGTGGCCTCTGTTTCCACGCACACATGCACCTCTGTTTGAGAATAAACTGTTATAACCGATGCCATGGGGGTGACCCGCCCACGGAATTTAAAGCAATTTCTGAAGTAGAAGTCATAAAGTTTGTTTGGTAACTGCCATGGACAAAACAATGTGATGCTTTGTGCAGAAGGAGCTGGTTTGCCTCCTGAATAAATAAATGAATCCTTATGCCTTTGTTGGCAGTTCCATAAAAGTAAGCGTTTTGAATTAGTGAAAGCCAGAGAAAGGCATTTCAGGGGGAGTTTCTCTGCACTGAGCCCAGCCCTTGGCAACAACAGTCACTATCTCCACAAGTTTGACATCTGACTATACTTATGAGAGCGGAATGCATTGGGAAATCTATCTATCTCCCAAAACAGGCACCTAATGAAACGCCTGGATGTGTTGATGGAAATTGGATGATGATTTATTGGTTTAGAGCATAAAACAATGTGGCGTGTCGGGTCAGGAACGCTGCAGTTGTCAGAATACAAGGCCTAAATAAGACTTGGAAAGAGCCTGGGAGAAGCACTGAGTCAGGCCTGGAAACTCTGAATGTGCTCTTACACCATTGTGCAAAAAGCTCAGAGCTATTCCACATCACCCCGGGCCCGACGCGCTCTGCTCTGTCTCTGCCGGGCACCGCTTCGAGGAGGCCTGTGGTATTTTCCATCTCCTTAATAAAAAGAAGCTGATGATGCCGGGGCCAAGGATGACGCAGTGTGTAGTCCACATGTGAGGACTTGTATTTTTAGAGTCAGGAATATTGTACTTGGGGAAGAAAACATCTCCAGGCTCTAAGTGCGTTCAACGACCATGTGAAGGGGAGTGGCCCCGGGGACAGGGGGGGGGGGACACACATGACCAAGATAGATCCATGAGATTTGTAGTGGCAAAGGGACATTCTAGCAACTTTGGAAGAACAATTATATGGAGTGAATTACAAGTTTTTTGTTTTTGTTTGCATAGAGTACGATCACATGGCTAAATTACTTATTCTGACCATTTTTATTGAACCAGACTGTGATTCCACTGATCTGTATGTACGTTTTTAAGACGACGGCATTGCTAATGGCTGAATAATGTCATCTACCTCATCTTCACACTGTATGGCCATTGCTTAAATTCACCTGTCGCTGTAGAAAGTCAGATTAAACGTCGATCTTGTGCAGAGGGAGCGTGGTGTGAGACATTTTACAGACAAACTGACCTGGTAAATCATGACTTTGAAGTTCCGTCTCTTCAGCAGCTCAGCCTCGTTGGTCTCCAGCTTCTTGATCTGGCCTCCTTGCTTCTCCAGGTTGGCTCGGACGCTCTTGACGTTGATGCTGACTTTGCGCACCTTCTCCATCATCTTGTTGACGCTGTTGGAGGTGGTGCTGTGGCTCTTGGACAGCTTGACCAGCTCTCCCTGGATGGTGGTGACCGAGCGCTCCATCTCCTGCTGTCGGGTCTCCAGGCCGCTCTGCGTCTGCTGGATCTTGTCCACGGCCCCGATGATCTTGTCCAGCAGTGAAAGTACCACGGCCCCGTTCATGGGTTGATCTGCAGCAGCTTCTGTGCTCTGCTCTTCCTCTGGACCCGCAGAGGCCTCCGTCTTCCCCTCCGCAGGCTCTTCATCGTCCGAGGGAGGCAGGTTAATCTCGTCGTCGGAGATCTCAGTCAGTGTCTGTGGTTCCAGAAGCACGCTGGGCAGCTCCAGTGTTTCCATCGCTGCCATGTTTGTAGATTTGAGCTGTTAAATCCTGTCACTATGAATTTTATGAATGTGTTTTTGCAGGTCCTAACAGAGCTGCTGCTCCTGACCCTCTTGGTTCTCTGGTCCTTGAGCAGTTGGAGTGTGCGGATGGGAAGACCACAGCAGGCACAGAAACCTCCAGGCAAGCATCAGCCCACTGTCTTTTTTCTCTCTGGCTCCCCCCTTTTTTCCACTGCACACTTCTCCTCCCTGGGTCCTCCCCTTCAGCGGGGCCTGGCCAACCCTGCGCCCGCCTCAGTGCTCTGTCGGTGTGGTACTAATGCACAACTCTGCAAGCTCAGGCACAGCGCGAGGAAGGAATGTCCAGGACACTTCTGACTGCCTTTGTTTGAGTGTTGTAGTTGTGGATGTGCGTCAGAGTTAAAGAGAATAGTGTCAGACTGTTTCAAAGTTCCTTCAAGGCATGTTTCTGTTGTTCTTCTGCCAACAGTGCAACACATGCCCTGGAGCAGAGAATCCATTTTGATCTTTGAATAAACTGGGTGAAAAAAAGTCTGAGAAATACCAATAAATAAAGCTTTCATATCACAAAAACAGATGAGTTGCACATATCAGAGTAATGTGTGGGAGGCCTGTGTTGAATGTAGTCTGTGGGAGTCCTGCTGGTGCTCCATGACCGGGGCTCTGGACAGTGGGCAATGGGGAGTGGCAGTCCCTGTGTTCCTCTCTGTGGACACACTGCACTGCTTCAGGGATACAGTCTTTCAAGTTCTTTCAAGTATGGCTTTCAGGTCAATTAAGGGGGCCTTTAACCTCCCAAATACAATCCCATCTATGTGGCCTTTTGAGTACCACCAATAGACTGTAAATACCACCACATGAAAACCAGGTCTTATCTGAGGAAAGACTCAGGGGATTTTAAAAATGCTATAAATTAAGAAAAGTAAGATTTGAAGAAAGATTAAGCCTGTACCTGCTGCCGCTTCTGAAAGGACACGGTGAATCCTGTACAACTCAACTCAGGTTAACGTCTGAAAGTGAACATTGTGAGAGTTTTCTGTCTTAAATCACCAAAATCCTCAGCCATTATGACCGGCCAAGATGAGATGGTTAAGTTTCCCCATGAGAAAATGTTTTTGACTAATAACATTTTTGGTCAACAACAACAACACAGACCGATTCATTGACACATTAAACGACCAAAGGCTGATTGCCCGAGCCAAGGATGAAGGAGGTGAAGCAGATTGACAGTTCCTGAAAGTGTGAGACAGGCCTCTACTTTGACAATTTTAAAAACCAAGTTAAAAGCAGTTGTGTTTAGCTGTGCATACAACAGAGGGGTTTTATATTTTTATCTTTTGTTTTAATGTACTGTGATTATTTATAATTTGAATCCTATCTTATTTTGTTCAGAACTTTGAGATATTTTGTGTATGAATTGTGCTATACATATAAACTTGCCTTGCCTAGAGTATTTACAATATAGTAGATAAAACCCGCTCTCCGGTCATCACGCGGCTTAGTGCTTTTATTTTGGAGACTTCCGGTCAAACACACCCACTTCCGGTATTCGAACGCGTCGCATCCAGCCGCAGCATCCTCAGCCACAGGAGCATTCGTGCACAATTCTCCAAGGTAAGTCCATCACACACTTACATTTTTACTTAGGGATGTGTTTAATCGGTTACTCGGTCGGGAGAAGGCTGTAGTCGACGCGCGCGTGGTGTGTGTTCACGTGAGAGTCATGGAAAGACGGGATGCGACGGGATGCGTTCTCATCCGCATCCCGTCATGGCGTCCTTGACAAGGGCAGAGGATGCTGCTGGAGGCCTGGTCCCCGTCTCCTCCAGGCTCCTCAGGGGGATTCAGCAGGAGGTGTCTCTGAGAATGTGGCTCATAAATCTGTCACGTGTCAACTTTTAGGGATGTCTGTAATTTCTGAGCTTTGACAAATTAGCAGCGTGTCTGTCTGCTCCTGCCTGACACTTCATGGTTAGGGCAGTAAATCAAAAGCGTGGCAGACTATGACTAGATGTGTTATTTATATCAGGCAAAACCATGTCTGATTTGTGGGACTAATAAAGCTATCATTCATTCATTATAAATGTTTAATGTAAAAGTCTCACAGACAGACAGTGCTGCAGGCTTTAGGTTCAACATACACTGTGACTGTCAGAAACAGATAGATAGATACTTTGTTCAGGTGTCCAGTAGCAGCAAAAATAAAAAATAAAATTGATAATTCTAAAAACAATAGTAATAATAACAGGTCCCAGCAGCAGAGGTGGAGCCGCTTCGTTCAGACCCTTTTCTCTGCTCTGGTCCAAAGAAAAATGCTAAATGTTTAATTTGCATTTTTCTAAAAGTTAGCATCCCTCCAGTGGATTTTCACCTGATCCACTTGGTTCGGACCATGAATCCTCTCTGCTCTTGTAACGGGTCTGATTTTCTCCGCTCTGCGTTGTGTTTACTTGATTGTGTGGTGCGGAGGAACACACGAGAGACAAGCTTACGAGGCGTTCTTTTATCTGGTCAATAAAAAACAAAAACAATGAACATGTGCCTCTGCATCACTCACAGCCCAAACTCTTCCCTGACACGGGTTTTCAAAGGGGCAATATACATACCTGGTCAATAAAAAACAAAAACAATGAACATGTGCCTCTGCATCACTCACAGCCCAAACTAAAAAGACATACAAAACGTAAATGACAACAAAATTACAATTAAAATGGACATTTTGAGACATAAAAAACATAAAGTGACTGACCTCTTCCCTGACACGGGTTTTCAAAGGGAAGAGGCAGCGGGAAAACCCCGAATTTATAGTGGGGGAACGGGGGACACACAAGAAGAAATATAAACACGGGAGTGGCTGGAGGACCAAAGCTGCACAACGAATCAAAGACCAGGACAAAAAACAATTATAAAAATAATAAAACTTGTAATAAAAATACAATAATAACTGTGTAATTCACATAACACTTACATAAACAAATTAAAAAAATACACTAAAGTTTTGAGAGAGGTCACTAAAATTTACTTTGCTACATACTCCCCTCTGAACTTCTCAAAACCGTCCCAATACACATCAACATGGACCAAGAGTAACATATGCGCCAGCCAACATAAACAAACCCTATCTAGTCTCCACTCGACTGCAACATGTATGTCTTCCTAACAGAAGGAAAAGCAACACTGAAAAGTTGGCCAAACTCTGCAATGTGTGCTCGCAATGAGATAGTGCCGTATACACAACCTCTTCAACGGGTAATTAGTGGCTGCTACTCCCCATTCAACTGATTGGTTAACAATTTTACTTATACAGTGAACTCACACTTGTACCAAAACAAAAGGATTCTTTACAGAAATAAACTCCTTGCAAAACCAGATACTGTGTCGCGCGTCTGAACGTTCTTTTGCGCCATGTTCTGTATCAGTCTGTGTACTGGCTTTACAAGTCTTCCAGCTCTCGTTCTGAAGAGGCTAACTGAGTCCATAGGTGGTTCTCCGGACTGATCACGTGAACTGGGGACTTGTCTGGGAACATTCTCATCCTCTCCAGCACTTTCAGATTCATTTTCAGTACCTTTAAAGCCTTGAGAGTCAACACACGACCCTGCTTCCATATCTAAGGCTTCCTGAGAAGGATTTGAACCTGAGAGGGAGCCTTCAGACACTGTTTTTGCGACCCACTCAGCTGTGCGATTGTCCACACTGTTTTCGAGATTGACAACTGAAATTTCGGCATTTACACTGTCTGCGTTACTTTGTTCAGGGGTGGAATTAAAAGATGACACAGAGCCATGGTCAATTTCGAGTGGTAAGAAGTTTGCCGACAGAAGGAGATTACGATGGACAACCTTCTCCTGTCCGGTAGCTGTATTTTTCACCCGGTAAGTGTGGCACTTGGGATCTTTGGAAATGACTGTGTAAAGAGTGGAACTCCACTTGTCGGCAAGCTTTCTCCGGCCACGCTCACCCTTGTTAGCCAAGAGAACCTGGTCACCTTCCTCAATATCCGTCCCTTTGGCTCTCAAGTTGTACAACCGAGCTTGGCGGCGCTGACTAGCATCTGTATTGGCTTGTGCTGCAGTGAGGGCTTCCTTCAGAGTGTCTCTAATTTTCTTTACATAACTGTCATAGTCTGTGATCTCGTTATCTCTGTGTGCATTGTGGAACATGACATCCACTGGGAGTCTAGGTATGCGGCCAAACATCAAATAAAACGGTGCATAGCCAGTCGACTCATGGGCTGTACAGTTGTAGGCGAAAGTCAGTGTTTGAAGCATTTGTGGCCATTTGCTTTTGTCACGGGGTGGCAAGGCTCTGATCATATTTCCCAACGTCCTATTGAACCTTTCGGTCTGTCCGTTACCCATAGGGTGATAGGGTGTGGTCCTTGACTTTTTCACTCCAGAGATCTCCAACAGTTCCCGAATGAGCTCGCTCTCAAAGTTTGCACCCTGGTCAGCGTGGACTCTCTGGGGGAAACCGTAGACGCAAAAGTATTTGTCCCACAATTGGCGGGCTACCTGTTTTGCGGATTGGTCCGGACACTGGAAAGCGTGGGCCATTTTGGTGAAATGGTCAGTTACAACCAATACATCCACACTCCGACCTTTTGCATCCTCAGCTGACCAGAAGTCAATACACACCAATTCCAGGGGGCTCGTGGTTTTGATGCTTTCAAGAGGGGCTCTTCCCTCTGGCTCAGGAGTCTTACTCACTACACAGCGTTTGCAGCACTTAACATACTCCCGGACACTCTGCTCCATACTAAGCCAGAAAAAGCGTTGCTTGGCCAGGTGTAATGTCCGGCTCTGGCCTTGATGTCCAGCATCGTCGTGTACACCACGTAGAACTTGGCCAACAAGAGACATGGGGGTTATGTACTGATGCCGCCTTTTGCCTGTAGTTAAGTCCTTACATACCCTGTACAGAATGTTATCAAGCATTTTTAGCTTCTCCCACTGCTTCAGGAGTTTCAGAGCTCTTGGAGACAACACAGACCTTTCTCTCCTTGATGGCCGCCTGCCACGCGTTACAAACGGGACAACTTGTGCGATAGTGGTGTCATTGAGCTGCGCATCTTGGAGCTCCTGAACAGAGAACACAGGCAAGGTGACTTGACCTGGGGGGACAAGGTCGTCTATGTCCTGGGCTAGCCAAGAAACCACTCTCTGCTCTGCACTCTGTTCCTCTGCTAGCTGACTTGAAAGGACTGCTGACACTTCTTCACTAGATAATGACTGGGTAATCTGGAGACAGTTTACCTCTTGGTAGTCTGCACTAGCTCTAAACACTTCTTGAACTGTGTCTACTCTGAGCTGCTCTGATTCACGTAACAAACACTCATAGGGCTCTGCTACCAGTCTCTGGGAAACACGACCTTTGATGAAAGGTTGGCGGCTTAGGGCATCAGCGACAATGTTCTTACTGCCTGGGATGTATTTGATGTTGAAATTGTATGGAGCCAACTTCGCCACCCACCTTTGTTCACACGCATCGAGTTTGGGTTTCGTGAGGATATAGGTCAGGGGATTATTATCCGTCCAGACAGTGAATGTGTTTCCTTTGAGCCAGTGGCTAAATTTATCACAGACTGACCACTTCAACGCCAAAAACTCTAAGCGGTGGGCAGGGTATTTGCTCTGTGCACGAGTAAGAGATTTGCTGGCGAATGCCACAGGCCGCGCTTTTGTCTCTCCGTCCTGAACTTGGGACAACACAGCGCCCAGCCCATCAATTGAGGCGTCTGTAGACAAAATGAATGGGCGGTTGAAATCTGGGTGCGCCAAGACCACAGACTCCAAGAGGGCAACTTTCAACTGTTCAAATGCGTCTTTATGTTCCTGCTTCCAATCACTGGGGTGCAACTTCTTGAACACAGCAGCACCACGTGCGTTCCCTTTCCTCCCTTTGGGGGCAGCAGTCAGGGCGAAAAGGGGCTTAGCTAACCTGGAACAATCTTGAATGAACTGCTGATAGTACATTGCCATGCCCAAGAATGATTTTATTTTCTTCTGTGAGGGTGTTATTCCATCCTCCATCATGAGATCTGTCTCAGCCATAGAACTGATGGCCTTGACCTTTTCGGGGTCGGTGGCGACACCATGTCTGTCCACAACGTGCCCAAGGAACTTAACACTTCTCCTAAGAAGTTGGCATTTTTTGGGAGCAAGCTTCAATCCATGAACTCTCAGCCGGCTAAAGACCATTTCCAGCCTTCTTAGCGCTTCTGCCTCATCAGGTGCATAAACAAGGACATCATCAAGATAGCAAAGGAGGGTCATGAAGTTCTGGTCCCCAAAGATACTCATCATGAGCCGCATGAAACTGGCAGGACTGTTACATAGGCCTTGTGGGAGCCTATTAAACTCATATAGGCCCATGGGAGTGGTAAAAGCAGTGAGCTTCTTATCTTCTTCGGCCATGGCGATGTTATAGAAGCCAGAAGTAAGATCCATCGCACTGAAGATAGCACTTCCTCCAAGGGCTGCCAGACAGTCTGCTTGGTGTGGCAACGGATGAGCGTCTTTGACCGTACGCGCATTGAGCCAGCGATAATCCACACAGATTCTCAAGTCTCCACTCTTTTTCCACACAAGAACCAGCGGAGATGCCCACTCACTTTTCGATTTGCGAATTATCTCTAGCTCCTCCATCTCGGAAAGGACCTCTCTGAGTTTGTGGTACTGCCCAGGTGGGACTCTGCGGTACGGGAGCCTGAATGGCCGAGTATCGGACAGATGGATTCTGTGGACAATGTCTTTAGCTGATCCACAGTCCAGTTTGCTCTTAGAAAAGACATCCTCATACTTCCGAACAAGCTCCATGAGTTGACCTTTCCAATAGGGTGACACCTCACAAGAGTCAATATCAAGATTTTCAAGCCCAAGCATAGTCAAGGTTTCTTGGAGGCCAAAGTGCTCACAAGACACGGCTTGGTTATTCACTCCCACGGTCTCAACGGCCTCTGTGTCCTCATCCAAGTCCTCAACAGCAATGCAAGCAGACACTTCTGCCATCTTTGTATTGCGCCTCAGAGTGATAGTTTTACTGGAGGTGTTAAGCACTCGGATTGGGATCCACCTGTCACCATGCATGTTAGACACTGACCTGCACACAATGATGTCATTTTTGTGGGTTAGGCACTTCGATGGCTCAACCAGCACAGCGCTACCTTCAGAGAGAGCAGAATTAGAGGGCAACCTGCTCCAAATGAGGTGCTCTCGTCTGGGCTGGAGAGTTAAAGCTTTTGTCAGCTTGGCAGTTCCAATAACATCAGGAATGTGGTCCCCTTTCCACCTGTTAATGCCAGACAGCATGTTAAGAAACTGCATAACCTCAGGCGAATCTGTCGACTCAGGTTTACTTAAAACTTCCCAGAACTGAGTGGACTGTCTGAACTGTTTGAGAATGTACTTTATGGCATTAGTTCCAATAATCATTTGGTCTCTCTGTCCTGGAACCACTAACGCTGGGACTCTAAATGTACAATCATACACTCGCACTTTTAAATCATAAACACACTTCGGCTTTACCTTAACTCCACCACAACCTACCAGCACTACATCAGGGCCGGTGTCATTGGGTGTAATCACAGCCCCAGCACTCTTTAACATTTGCTCTGCCTCCTCACTGATCGTACAAGCCATGGAGCCAGTATCCAGTAGAGCTTTAAGTGAGATAATGTCCTCCATCTGTGCATCGACATAAAATAAACTGTCGGCTTTGTCGAGCCTCGTTATATTCTGGAAGAGAACAGTGTCCGAGGGGGAGGCTTTAACACACTCAAAGTAAACAGACTGGGCATCATTATCATGTTCGAGGGTTTCCATTCGATCACTCACATTGTCCCCTCCCGCATGTGAGTGCATTAGTTTCCCTGAAACAGTGGAGCTGGGGTGCCGCCCTGGACTGTGGGGGGCTTAGTGCAGTCTTTTTTGTGGTGCCCAACCTCTAGACAGCCCAAACACCTTCTCTCTCTCATACAATGCGTGCGTGTCGAATGAGAGGTCTGTTTACAGACACGGCATGGAGACTGGTGCCCAAATGGTGAGGGTGGTGCTGAGGGCACAGGATGACTGCTACGCTCCAACACTTTCTCTAACATTCTTAGCACTCTCTCCAATGCATCTGATCCTGGGACAGATTGTTCATCCGACTTGGGTGGACTAGTGACCTTAGTGATGTTTACATTGGCATACTCTGTGTTACACTCTGAGGGATCGATGTCTGCTACAGCAGTGGCTACACGGAGAGCCTGCGGTTTGGCTAGAGGTGCAGCTAACCTCTTAGTTTGGTGCTCTCTCTGGTGCTCATCAATAGCTTCCTGCACCTCAGTGAGTGACCACTTACTGATCGGTTTACACTTGAAAACACAGGCAAGGTTGGTGTCAGGGCAGTTTCGGATAAACATCATGGCTATTTCTGAGTCCATATTGTCCATTTTACCACCTTGGCGCTTTAAATGCCTGTCCGCTACCTCCGCGGCTGTGTTTAACCGGACCCAAAAGTCTACGGGTGTTTCTTTGACTAATGGCTGTGTAGCGTAGAAATCAGCTAATGGCAGACATGAACCAGGGGTCTCACTAAAATAGCGCCTCAGAATGCTGTATATTGTCTCTGGACTGATCTGGATGCTACTTGAGCTACTCTTAAGCCCCACTCTGACAATACTCCTTGCCCTGCCAAGGAGATGGTTTAGCACCTCATTTGCTTGTTCACTGGGTGAGAGGTCTTTCTTGCGCAAATACACTTCAACTGTTTCAATCCACTCATGAATCGAATACTTGTCTGCACCATCACCACGATACATGGGTGGCTCTTTAATGTCCGGTCTGACAATTAAACTGACTTTGGACAGGTCAGTGGTCATATTAAGTGTGTCAGCTCTGGGTGAATTAGCACATGGGGGCTGTGGGCTAAGGTGCTGCTGGCTTGATAGTATACGACCAGCTATAGACTCCCCTATCTGACTGGACAATTCACCAATAAGTTCACGTAACTGATCTGTTGTGTTTTCACTGGCAACAGTGGGTGTAGAGTACTGTGGCATAGGCCTATGACCAACAGTGTTTGACTCGAAAAGTCTTTGAGGGATGGACCCAGGGGTTTCATTCACAAATGTCAATAGCCCTCTACCCCTCCCAACAGGTGTAAACAAATCAAAAACTTCATCACGTTTTTGTGCCATATTCAAAATATTAATTTAGCCAAAACCTTTCATAAGATGTGCAATTGGCAAAACACAACTCTTTCTTTTATGACTGTAATTAAAGCAGCAGTAAGCGATTTTTGGGTGTTAATATACGTCTTAAATATTGATATATTCCAATAGCCATCACTTATATAGAGTGTTTGTACCTAAACACGGATCTCTCAGTCCTTCCAGTCTTCTCCCACCTATATATTAAAAAAATCTCACATCCTATGCGCTTATCCAATGACGAGAGAGCACGCCTTATAAGGGGTTTCTCCCGTGTGTGCACGCGCACTCTTCAAAACAAACATGGCGGAGAAGGAAAAGCCGCCTCGAGCGCTGCTGCAGACTAAATACCACATGGATCTATTAAATACAGGCAAAACGCCAGAAACAGAGGAACGACAAAAAGTAGGAGCAACATGGTGACCAGCTGCATTCATGTTGGCGACCTCTAGCTCCGTGGATTCCTCTCTCCGACTGAACAGGTGAGCATGTTACTCAGTAGTGGCAGTAGTAGTTGTATTATTTATACATATTGTTGCCTGAGACTGTAATGCGGGCTTTCACCAAGTTAGCTAGTTAAAAATCCCCAGCTGTTGTAGAAATACGGCCGCATTTTGTGGCAATAACTGCGCATTACCTTGGCTTAGCTTTGAGAAACAACAACAGACAACACAACATCGAAGCCTTAGCCCAGCCTCAGCCATCCATAAACTCCGGTCAATTATTAGTTCCCCACATGTACAACATTAAATGACCATATCACCAGAGTTCCCCCGTGAAGTGGTGTTAGCATTAGCGTTCGCTGTTAGCATTAGCGTTCGCTGTTAGCATTAGCGTTGGCTGTTAGCATTAGCGTTCGCTGTTAGCATTAGCGTTGGCTGTTAGCATTAGCGTTCGCTGTTAGCATTAGCGTTGGCTGTTAGCATTAGCGTTCGCTGTTAGCATTAGCGTTGGCTGTTAGCATTAGCGTTCGCTGTTAGCATTAGCGTTGGCTGTTAGCATTAGCGTTCGCTGTTAGCATTAGCGTTCGCTGTTAGCATTAGCGTTCGCTGTTAGCATTAGCGTTAGCTGTTAGCATTAGCGTTGGCTGTTAGCATTAGCGTTCGCTGTTAGCATTAGCGTTGGCTGTTAGCATTAGCGTTCGCTGTTAGCATTAGCGTTAGCTGTTAGCATTAGCGTTTGCTGTTAGCATTAGCGTTGGCTGTTAGCATTAGCGTTCGCTGTTAGCATTAGCGTTCGCTGTTAGCATTAGCGTTAGCTGTTAGCATTAGCTGTCTGTAGTTGTGAATATGATGTGGCTGCTACGATCACTTCTAATCTGTATGAATCGTTTGTTTTTGCCAATAAACATAGTTGCTTGCACTATATATATATGTAGGTCTGCATTTCATTCTTCAATGACTAAGTTTTTCAACTTGCACTCTGTATATTAGTTTTATTGTTATAAAAACAATATCTCTTTACCTCAAATCTAACTTCCGTGACCACTACATACATTTTTATTATTATGTATTGAGAATAAGTAAGAGTCTTGCTGACTACTACCAAATAAATTATGAGCATGATATAATATAGACATTGTAATAATTTACATGTCTTCATTGCATTCTTTTCTCTGTATCTTTTCCAGTATGGCCTAAATCAATTGGAATGAGGTCTTCAATGTACAAGAGTTCAAAAGCCTCCATAATGCAAGTTAAATAACTATTAAAAAAAAAACAATGCCATAACGACTAGATACTTTTCTGCTGACCTCTTCTTTCTCTTGTATTGACTGGGAAGACAAGACTTTGCTTCCAGAATTAGAAGATCGGCCATTGTCATCTCCTGAGGAAGACTTTACACCCCACATTTGTCATGTAGGTTGTTGTGAATGCATATATGGGACGCAGTGATTATGATAATGATGTTGTGATGTGTGTGTCGTTCATCCCTACAGTTGTGTTGCTGCCCTGAGGTCCAAAATGAATATCCATCATGTTCCAGGAGTCAGTGTTGACAAAACTGTCGCTGAGTTTCTTCAACAATCAAGAGGAGTGAGATAATCACTCGACTCCCAAAACAGCCGATGTAAGTGTCTTTCTCTCACAATGCACAGTCCAAATAAACATGTTCAAGGATCCTGTGGATCAGGGGCCACTCCTGGTGACCAATAAATACTGATGTTGTTGATGATGAATATATCAAAGTCATATTTGAGTAGATAAAACTGATGTCTCTTCTATTATGTTTCAAAGGAAAATCTCTGCCAGAGGAAGACTCCAGTTCCTTCAACCTGGGCCCCTGAAGCGTGGCTGTGTGTGCTTGTGACTGTGTGTGCGTGTGGCTGTGTGTGCGTGTGGCTGTGTGTGCTTGTGACTGTGTGTGTGTGTGCGTGTGGCTGTGTGTGCGTGTGGCTGTGTGTGCGTGTGGCTGTGTGTGCGTGTGGCTGTGTGTGCGTGTGGCTGTGTGTGCTTGTGACTGTGTGTGCGTGTGGCTGTGAGTGCGTGTGGCTGTGTGTGCTTGTGGCTGTGTGTGCGTGTGACTGTGTGTGCGTGTGGCTGTGTGTGCGTGTGGCTGTGTGTGCGTGTGGCTGTGTGTGCTTGTGTGTGCGTGTGGCTGTGTGTGCGTGTGGCTGTGTGTGCGTGTGGCTGTGTGTGCGTGTGGCTGTGTGTGCGTGTGGCTGTGTGTGCGTGGTGGCTGTGTGTGCTTGTGACTGTGTGTGCGTGTGGCTGTGTGTGCGTGTGGCTGTGTGTGCGTGTGGCTGTGTGTGCGTGTGGCTGTGTGGTGTGGCTGTGTGTGCTGTGTGTGCGTGTGGCTGTGTGTGCGTGTGGCTGTGTGTGCGTGTGGCTGTGTGTGCGTGTGGCTGTGTGTGCGTGTGGCTGTGTGTGGCGTGTGTGTGCGTGTGGCTGTGTG